GAGATCTCGACTCGTGGTGAGCAAGGGCGCGGATATTTTTATTGGTATCTCGACAATCCATATATAGACGATGAGATGTCATTCTGAGTCCTGGGCAAAATATGGGTTCTGCACTGCAAGTGTGCAGTTTTCGATTGCCGTCCTGCATCATGAAGAAGTGCAGAGCTGTGGACACGCTAGCTGTGCTCGCTGAAGGTTCTTTTTCATTCAAGGGTCGGTGCGCATGGTTTTGGCGCATGTGCTGCTTCAACGTTCTTTTTGGACTCACTTTGCAGCTTTCATGGCTATCGCAGGCACAGCACATATGGGACTCGTCGACCGTGCAGGTGTAGTGTAGGTTTTTAGAAGCGCATGCTTACACGGCACCGCCCGTGCCCTTCCTGATCGCATTTCCCCTGGGGCCCCCAGGCTGCACTGGAGCAATCCTGCGTGAGAAGACGTGCCTGCGACATGCCTCTTAAGCGTCGGCCAAGGTTCAGTTTGGGCAAGATGCCCAAAGCCAAAGATGGCGGATCCGAGGAGACGCCTGGCGGGTTTGCACGCTTTTGCGATCCGCAAGCCCTGAACCCTAAACCCCAAAGTTTAGGGATTTGCAGACCTCTGTGGCCTGTTAGCCCAGGAAGCTGATGACCAGCCTGGTTCTACACATTCCTCTTAAGGATGTCAAGAGAAGTGGGGAGTTCGTAGCTGGTGGGGATTTGCGCAAGAAGCGCAACCAGTGGTTCAAGACGGCCTTCATGACGGCGCGCTCTGGCTGCAGCTCTTGAGTCTCTCTCTCTCTCTCTCTCTCTCTCTCTCTCTCTCTCTCTCTCTCTCTCTCTCTCTCTCTCTCTCTCTCTCTCTCTCCTCCCTCCCTCCCTCTGTGTCTCTCTTTTTCTGACTTTCTGCCGCCATCCCGCGAGGGTCTTGCTCTTGAGTCAGGGATGAAAATTCATTTTCTGTGTTTGTTTCGAGCGTGCATGGATCTAAGGGGCATCAAGAGACGACCCAGTCGAACAGCCCTTCTCCGTATAGTGAAGAAACTCAACACTGATCACAAGATCTGTGGCCTGGCTGCATCTATATACAGGGTTTGGGTTTAGGGTTTCTGTCGCTCCCTGGAACCACATATACCTGCCTGAGGTCCCCAAGGCATGGATGTTGATTCGTGGTCGAGCTGCCAGGTCAGGGTTTGGGAGTGTCAGCTCCTGTCCAACGAGGTACACGAGTGATGACTGCATTTACCCCGTTGTCATTTTGAGGCTGACAAGCTGAACTCCATGATGGGCAAAGTTGTACGCTCCAAACAAGCTTCTACCAAGCAAATGAAGAGGACGGTGAGATTTTTTGCCGATTTCGATGGCGACCCCCTAGGCTTTAGGGTTTAGGGTTTGGGGTTTAGGGTTTAGGGTCATGGACCATATGAACCTGGGAACCCTGTAACCCTGTCTGAAGGACATTGACCCCCGTCGACCCCTCCACGTTGGAGACACAAGTTCTACACCCGAGTGTCCTGGCAGAATCTGCTGTGGGAGCAAGCCGTGCACAGAAAGCCGTGTGGCATGCATGTGTGGCCCTTTCACTCATAGGTGAAATCGATGCAGAATTGGACGCTTGCTATGATGCGTTTGATGATGAGCAGGCGCGCGCTGGGATTCGCCGTACGGTTTCATATAGGGTAAAGCTTTACCCAAAAACCCGGAAAGCCTATATATGAACCCGAAACCCTTCTAAAACAAAATCCCTATCATCACAAGTCTTACTCCGAAACCCCTGCCGTCATGAGTACTGTGCAATCGATCCTGCTTTTGGACTTCTAGTGGCACGTGTAGGAAAATTGCTAGGCCTGCTCATGTACGGATGCTATACGAAGTCTCATCATCAGGACCAGGACCTTCCTCTTCAGTTCTTTCATTAACTCTACATCTTTGAAATATAAATAAATAAATAAATAAGCAAAATATATATGAAAGAATTTTGTCTATCCATATATACTCCCCAAAAGTGGATGCTGGGCAACACGGTGAGGATTCAGAGGAGGGAGAGGATAAGCAATCCCGGGCTTCAGCAGCAGAAGGTTCCAATGAGGACATGGATGATGAAGAACAAGGCAGCCAAGCCCGGGCGTCAGCAGCGGAAGAGGAAGAAGCAGTGGAGGATGTGGAGCAAGAGGAGCAAGCCCAGGCATCAGCAGCGGAAGAGGAAGATGAGCAAACGCGGGCATCAGCAGCGGAAGAGGAAACAGAAGAGGAGGATGTGGCGCAAGAGGAGCAAGCCCAGGCATCAGCAGCAGAAGAGGAAGAAGCAGTGGAGGATGCGGAGCAACAGGAGCAAGCCCAGGCATCAGCAGCGGAAGAGGAAGAAGAGGAGGATGTGGAGCAACAGGAGCAAGCCCAGGCATCAGCAGCAGAAGAGGAGGAAGCAGTGGAGACGGAGCAGGAGGAGCAAGCCCAGGCATCAGCAGCGGAAGAGGAAGAAGAGGAGGATGTGGAGCAACAGGAGCAAGCCCAGGCATCAGCAGCGGAAGAGGAGGAAGCGGTGGAGACGGAGCAGGAGGAGCAAGCCCAGGCATCAGCAGCGGAAGAGGAAGCAGAGGAGGATGTGGAGCAACAGGAGCAAGCCCAGGCATCAGCAGCGGAAGAGGAAGATGAGCAAGCCCAAGCATCCGCAACGGAAGAGGAAGAAGAAGTTGAGGATGTGGAGCAACGGGAGCATGCCCAGGCCTCGGCAACGGAGGCGGAGGAAGAAGCGGAGGACACCGAGCAAGAGGAGCAGGCCCAGGCCTCAGCAGAAGAGGAGGAAGAAATGGGGGATGCTGAGCAAGATGAGCAAACCCAGGCATCAGCAGCAGAAGAAGAGGAAGAAGCGGAGGATGCCAAAGCCTCAGCAGCAGAGGAGGACGCCGAGCAGGAGGAGCAGGCGCAGGCATCAGCAGCGGAGGAGGAGGAGGAAGAACCTGAGGATGCCGAGCCAGAAGAGGAAGAGGTGGAGGACACCGAGCAACATGAGGGAACCCAGGCATCTTCAGCGGAAGAGGACGAAGGAGTGGAGGACGCCGAGCAAGAGGAGCAAGCCCAGGCCTCAGCAGCAGAAGGTTCTCATGAAGAGGTGGAGGGCGACAATGAGCAAGGTGAAGTGTCCCCAGCAGAAGCTTCAGAGGAAGAGCCGCAATGTGGTGGGGTCTTCACCGGCCCGTCAGCAGATGAGTGGTCGCAAGGGGAAGCAGGCCAGGAAGCCTCCAGCGAGGACGAGGCTTTTGAGGATGCGGAGGACGTGGAGATGGGAAACATGTCAGATGGAGGCGGGGCCATAGTTGCCTGCACCGAGGATGAAGCGATGGAGGAGGAAGAGGAGCAACCGCAAGACGTGGCTGAGAAGTCCGATGAGGAAGAGGCTCCGAACAAAGCCCTGCTGGATGCAGGCCAGGCCTACACCCTGAAGTTTTAAGACGTGCATGGTCTGCCTTGAATACCCAGGAACCCCTCCGAAGAAGACCCGCAAGGTGGGTGACCCCAACTCCGTGCCTTGCCGGCCTGTGATGAAGCAGCTTAAGGATTCTAGGCCTGACCTCTCGTGCTTCTGATTTCCCACGGAGGCTCTGAAACGCAGGGACTCGATCAAGTGTGATGTCGAGTACAAGCAGAAGCCTGGTAAGGCGATGGCTGCGAGCCTGGGTGTGGTTGAGTTCGGCGCTCTCCAGGAGGCTGTGCTGAAGGAAATGGGCAAGGGGCCTGTTTCCCCGTCAGAGCAGTTAGCCCTCGTCCGGGCAGAAAAGAAAAGCAAGAGGCCTGTTGGATTGCTTTTCCTCTTGTATACGTGCTGTTCTATACTTCGCCACACAGTTCGCCCTGCGCAGGAAGGGCGACCCAATGGAACCCAAAGAGGTGACACCGCTCAATGATGGCTGGTTTAAAGAAGTCCGGGTCAGGAAATCCGGACCGCAGGCCGGCCGGCCATTTCCAGTCTACACCAACGTGGATGGTCGCACCTTCCACAGCAGGACCCAGGCAGAAAAGAACGGCTGTGTGGATCCTACTCCCGATGGGCGCCGCAAGAAGGCTTGCACAAAGCCTGCGCCGGACGCTGCCGACCCAAAGAGGAAGCCCAAGCAGGCGGCAAAGAAGCCAAAAGGCAAAAGGAAGGTGAATGAAGAGGAGGATTAGAGGCTTGCCACGCATGTCTATATCAACATATTATAATATATAACATATTTTTTCTACACTCAAAACAGCCATAGTGTGCCTGCTGCAGGCCACCGGCCGCCATGCTATCCCTCAGATGGGATCGACTCAGGCGTGCGCGTGGAGTTTGGGACAGGGTGGGTTCAGGGTTCAGGCAGATCAAGGTTTATAATGTCCGGCTCCTGCAAGGTTTCTGGTGTGGGACCCTCTCACCTAAGCCTATTAATTCCAAACATGCGCTATTGCTGAAGCCCCATTCTTGATCTGGACATAAAACCCAAACCCCCGGGTTCGAGTATTTCGATGTCGCAGTGCCTCGGCCCTTAGTACCTCAACGAGAGGGTTGCGTGTAGGTCACTAGACTTTATACACCCTAAACCCTAAACCCGAATTATGACCCTAAACCCTAAACCCTTGTACACACCAAGAATTGGACATCAGGGGTGGAAAAGGTTGCGCGGGTTCGGGTTAACTTGTGTTTAGGGTTTTAAGGTTCAGGGTTAAGGGTTTGCAATGGGGTTTGGGGTGTAGGTCCCCCACGCAAGCCTCAGGACAAAAACATTAACGGGACATAACTCAACGACACCTGCGGGGGTTTCAGGTTTTAGGGCTTTACAGTGTGTGATTTGGGTCGCAGAGCTTAAGGTTGTAGGGTTCTCAGGGTTGAGGTTTGGGGTTCAGGGTTTAGGGCGTAGGCTTCCTATACAGCCATGCCATCACCAAGGACACCGAATGGTGCCAGATGCTCATCCCGAAGCCTCGAACCCTAAACCCAAAACCCTCAAACCTTTAAAGCTTCCAGGCTTGCCAGAAAACAGCAACTCGAGGGACGCCGATTGTCTAACAGCCCAAATAATGCTGCCAGGAAGATTTCTCTGTGCCCACCACGGGCATGCTTGGATCCGGCAGCACAGGTCCTTGATGCGTTCTGGCACAGTTTGGCTAAGGGATAGCTGAGGACTTGCTAGGTCCTGGCTGAAGGGTCAAGGTCTTTGCTGGTTCCTAGGCCAGTTCGCTGAAACGTTTCATTTTAATTCGATCCTCGATGTACACGTGGTCTTGATCACGGTGACGGGCCTTAGGCCCATGTTCTGTCGATAGCTGGACGTGACACTGATCACGACCGGATGCCTTTGGCCGATTATTCTTATGGCTGTGCCAGGAGTGCTTTGTGTGCCCAGGATCCCGGATCCGTGCTCAAAGAAACTCTGCATACGTGCTTCTTCCGTATGTGCCAGTGGATCCTGCACAGTGTCGTAGAGGTGATGAGTTTTCGAAGTTTGCTTGCTGCCGACCCCAGTTTCCCAGTTTTTTGTAGTACTAGGTAGGATCCCAAAGTCCCAAAAGCCTTACCTGCTGCCATCATGCATATGCCTATGCTGGTGTGCATCCTGAAGTTCATGGAACAGATCGAGCGGCCGTCGAATCCGGAGTACCACAATGACTTTGTCTTTCGGCTGACATAGGGGTTTCTGCCTAGCCTCTGCCTGTGTGTGTACGTACTTTCCGGCTATATTTCTGGCTGAAATGGAGGAACCCTTCCTCTTCAGTTCTAACACTTCATGCCAGGACTATTTCTCTACGCTTCATTCATGAACTCACACATTGCTTCTCAACAGGGTTTAGGGTTTAGGGTGAACCCTTCCTCTTAACATGAACTCACACATTGCTTCTCAATAGGGTTTAGGGGTGAGGGTTTTGGGTTTAGGGTTTAGGGTTTAGGGTTTAGGGTTTAGGGTTCACGGTTCTTAGGACGGTTTAGGGTTACAGGTCACCCTCCCTCCTTCTCCCCCCTTCTTCCTCAGTTGCAGCAGCCAAGGTGGAACACTGTGCTGGAGATGCACAGGTCACTCGTGCATTTACGGCCCTGGGCTACAAAGGCAAGCGCTTCGACGCTGCTTGGATGTGTAATACACACACTGTCCTCAATCCATGCAGTTGATTCCAGCGGGCCTGGTAAACATGTCTGTTCCGAGGTGAGATACTCAGGAAACCATAATTTGCTTCGCACGATAGGCTTCATCACCCTATTGGGAGCTGCAACTGGACTGCCCTGCATCAGTGCATTGCAAAGACGATTCTTGCAGCGGTGGCATCATTAAAGTGAGGTATTGAATACAACAGTACCTGGATTTTTGATGTCTGCCCCCCCGTGCGCGACGTGGGTTTGGATGATTCTTGGTTGTAGAACAGATCGATCTCTCTGCTGTAGGCTTGCGTCTACGAATACTTGCCGAGCATACACCAGCTCAGGTCTTCCGGGAGTACGAGAAGAACACGAGACAGGCCACAAGGAAACACATCCCTGAAGTGTGTCCGCCAAGCAAATGCGTTCTGTGAGCGGTTGTGCTATGCTCTTCGCATTGCTACCCAATTGGGAATTTGGTGGGCGATCGAACAACCCTCTTCGTCTGTGCCCTTGTCTGCACGATGATCCTCCTGGGTGTAGTGTTTGAAAATCGATGGATTTGAATATGATGTTTCTACTGAGATGCTATGGTTCATGCCTGCCATGGTGGCGACTTTGCGGGTCACGAAAGCACGCTGCGTCAAATTTCCCATGTGCTGTTACGGAGCGCCCACGCTGAAACCAACGGTGCAACTTGGCTCTTTCCGTGCAGGCAGTATGCTTCTTTCTCGATCAGCATGTGTGCCCCCCTAGCACCACTAGTGCTGCTCAGGATTTATTCCACGCTGCCCAACATCGAGAAATTACGGAAGCCTCGATCTATCCGAGCTGCCAGGATGGCACTGGATGCCAGGACTGTATGCGTGGATTATTCTTCTAGACCCGGCCTGGTTAAGATGAACTTGGGCAGGAAAAAGAAATCTCTCGTGGTAAGGAAGAAGGACAAGAATGGAGTTATGCGAGTTGTGCCTCGGATTCTATCGATGGGAGTGGACCCACATCCTGCTAGCCTTGTGTTGCATGATCTCATATCGAATGATGTGGCTAAGCATGGGGGCAAAGCTCTCGCTGCTTCGCAATCCTATCCGTTCGAGTTCGGCGTCGTGCTCGCCGACTTGCAACTTCGTACTGCACAGTACGATTCTATATACCATAGGCAGCTGCAGAACCTGGTAACCTTAAACCCCAAAACCCTGAAACCTGGCTCCCTTCCACGATGTCTGCTGCTCAGGTTCCGTGAAGCCAAGGCAATGGCCGGCCACCAGCCAACCAGGACCTTGAGCGATTTGAGTTTGGATGTGGAGCCAGAGGATGTGTATGGTGGTGAGCTAGATGACCTTTTTGGTCGGGTCCCTGCTTGGAAGTAAAAGCAGCTGGCCTGTATGCTAATTCGTAATTTACGTGTCACGCAGTGTGGGCACCCCTAAACCGTAAACCCTGAACCCTGAACCCTTAAACCCTAGCGCGGGCGGGATATCCCCAGCTTTGCTTTTGGAGCGACGGGGTCACTTGCTGTCAGTTGAAACTCAGCGCGTCATTCTGTAAAATTACGCCGTCTCCTGCCCCTATGTGCGTGTCACTTGCTGTCAGTTGTGAAGTGACAGCGGGGCCGGTTTAATACAGTTACATTTGCAAGTGACATTTTCGGGAAGGCCTCTCGCGTGTCACTTTGCTGTCGGTGTGTGCCCTCGACCGCAGACAGGGTCAACAAAAACGCGCCTCGCCCCTGCGTGCCTTGCTGTCAATCCACCCCATGTAAATCCACGACACACATTGGGCTGCGGCAAAAGCTGGAGTGCTCAAGTATCCTATCATGACGACTACAGAGAAGATCGTGGGTCCAGAGCGCATCAACACGATGCCCAGTATCTCGTGCCCTGGTCAAGATTGATCTAATGTATCGTCTCAATGATCGATCTCTGCCCCGTAGGCACTCAACCCTCAAGCCTCTGACACCCTCAACCCCAAGGATCCCCGTTGACCTGTGAAGACAGCATTAAGGCTTCATGGTCTCTAAGGATGGGCGGGGGGGGGGGGGGGTTGTAGTCTTACCTGATCAACCTTATTAATGTTGAAAGTCTTTATGGTTGCCGAGGCTGGGGGTGGAGGTTTGGGGTTTCGGGTTGAGGGTTGAGGGTTTGGGGTTTAGAGTTTGGGATTGAGGGTTTAGGGCGGAAAGGGTTGACTTCGGGTTGCCTCAACCACAGGACCACGGACTTGAGTAGGCGGGCAAGGGTTTGTGTTAGGCCCCTCCACTTTAAAGGACCAGGCTTACAGTCTCCTGGAGCCCAACCCTCCAACACCAAGGATCCCCGACTATGTCAGGCATGTAGTACTACACTCATGCATGAAACCCTGAAACCCTACACGCTCAACCCCTAAACCCCCCAAAGGCAATAAGTCCCTCGAGCCAAGGGTCCTCCAGCCTCCTGTGCCTGGGCTTCATGTTTTTCTGTTAACGTTGTTCAATTTGGGAAAGCAGCCACAGCCCTGGCCAAGGACGGCAAAGGGAAAGGCAAAACCCTCAAGCCCGTCAGTGCTAAGGCTGGGTGGAGTTGGGAGGGGGCGGGGGGGAAGGGGGTAAGGCACGTAGTGAGAGCATGCTTTTTTACAGGCTGCTGCAGATTGGCAAAGGGCAAAGGGGGGAAGGGGGTTGGGGTTTAGGGTTTAGGTTTTGGGGTTTAGGGTTTTGGGTTTAGGGTTTGGGTTTAGGGTTTAGGGTTTAGGGTTTAGGCCGGTTTAGGGTTTAGGGTTTAGGGTTTAGGGTTTAGGGTTTAGGGTTTAGGTTTCGGGTTTAGGGTTTAGGGTATAGGGTTTAGGGTTTGGGGTTTAGGGTGTAGGGCCGAAACCCTAAACCCAAACAAACCCTAAACCCTAAAAACCCTAGACCCCACTCTCCCCCCCCCCCCCCCCCCCCCCATCTTCCACACCCCCCTAGTGAATTGCAGGCGTGAACCCCCCCCCCTACCCCCTCCCTCCCCTCCAAACCCGTTGACACAGGCTTGTTGCCCTCCCCGAACCTGCCTTCCCCACCGCTGCTGAGGCGGCCAAGAAGCCGGGACACACTACTTCGAGTAAGGACAAGCAAGGCAGAGGTGCTGTGCCCACAATTGAGGAACAACCCAAAAAAAAGGCCCGACTTGCGACGGACAAGAGCCCGGACACGGCCGCCAGTAAGCCGACAGGAGAGCTAAAAGACAAGAAGCCGGACACAGCTGCTAAGCCTAAACAGACGAAGCCGGACGCCAAGCCAGCAGAACAGCCAACGGAGAAGAAGCCGGACACAGCAGCTGCCGAGCCTAAAGAGAAGAAACCAGACGCAACAGCCACCAAGCCAGCAGAGTTGCCAAGCACACTTGCTGGACAGGTCAAAGAGAAGAAGCCGGATGCAGCAGCCAGCAAGCCTGCAGGACAGTCGAAAGAGAAGAAGCTGGACGCAGCACGCAAGCTTGCCGGACAAGGAAAGGACAAGAAGCCGGACGCAGTGGCCAGCAAGCGTGCAGGACAGCCCAAGGAACCGGACACAGCAGCTGCCGAGGCAGAGCAGAAGCCAGTCGCAGCAGCCGCCAAGCCAGAGAAGAGGCCAGACCCAGCCAAGCCCAAAGGGAAGAAGCCGGACGCAGCCGCCAAGCCAGCAGGACAGCCGAAGCCAGATGCCGCAGCCGCAAAGCCACCAGGACAGCCAACGAAGAAGCCGGACGCAGCGCAGAAGAAGCCAGACGCAGCAGCCGCCAAGCCACCAGGACAGCCAACACAGAAGAAGCCAGACGCAGCAGCCGCCAAGCCACCAGGACAGCCAACAGAGAAGAAGCCAGACGCAGCAGCCGCCAAGCCACCAGGACAGCCAACAGAGAAGAAGCCAGACGCAGCAGCCGCCAAGCCAGCAGGACAGCCAACGCAGAAGAAGCCGGACACAGCAGCCAAGCCACCAGGACAGCCAACAGAGAAGAAGCCGGACGCAGCAGCCGCCAAGCCAGCAGGACAGCCAACACAGAAGAAGCCGGACACAGCAGCCAAGCCACCAGGACAGCCAACAGAGAAGAAGCCGGACACCGCAGCCAAGGCACCAGGACAGCCAACGCAGAAGAAGCCGGACACAGCAGCCAAGCCAGCAGGACAGCCAACAGAGAAGAAGCCGGACGCAGCAGCCAGCAAGCCTGCAGGACAGCCCAAGCCAGCCCCAGAAAATAAGGCAGCACTCACGTCCGCAAACTCTGCGTCACAGTGTGAAGAGAATGAGACAGCCAGTCAGCCTGCAGGAGCACACAAGGGCCAGAAGCGCAGTCCCAAGAGACCCCCCGTTTCAGGAGAACCTGCTTCCAAGAAGGCAAAGACTGCCTCGAGCAGTGTTCCAGCAAAATGCAACGGTCAGGGTGCGCAGGCGCCCATGGAAGCAGAGGACAGTGATTCTACACTACGGGCATCGTAGATCAGGGTTTAGGGTTTAGTTTAAGGGTTTAGGGTTTAGGGTTTGAGGCTTTAGGGTTTAGGGTTTAGGTTCAGGGTTTAGGGTCTCAGCCATGAAATCTTTCAACAGCCCCGGAATACCAAAGACCATGTGCCCCCGATAATCCTTGGCCGAAACCTGAACCCCGACTTCTGATCAGGACTTCCAGGTGAGTGCTGAAGCTTCACAGAGGGCCCAGGAGACAACGCCTCAGAAGAAGCCACCCTCTGCAAATCAACGACCAGTTGCCACTCCGCAGCGGCGCTTCCGTGCGAAGTCCAGCCCGGATGCCCATGCCTCAGTGTCGCAACTGCTTTGACTGTGTTTCCAAATTCCGAGCCCGGGTTTGGGTGTTTGAATTAATATCTGCATATATCCATGGTTTTTTTCTCAGGCAAGCAAGCCTCGGAAGAGTCCAAGAGCATCGCCAAAGACTTCCCCTTGCAAAGCCCATCCAAAGGCTTCCCCCAGCAAGCCGCAGCCTTCCCCGTACAAAGCCCTTCCGAAGGCTTCCCCCTGCAAAGCCAGTCCGAAGGCTAGGAGGCCAGTCACGGAGTTGAGTCCGGATGAGAGACTCCGCATTCAGAACATGACTCACCCCAGTGTGTCCTGGATGGAGATGGTGTGCTAGCTCGATCACTGTACAGCTTGCACTAGCTGGTCTATACTGCGCTAGGCTATGATACGCAAGGACATGCCGTATCCTGAGCGCAAGCGGCGCTACTCCTGGGTGGGACGTTTCATGCGTGGCAAGAAGTCCAGTCCGTCGGAAGCGGATGTAGCCCTTTGCAACAAGTACGAAATGATGAAAACAGATCAGGAGCGGCCGCCTGCCACAATTGGAAGGGTTTTCGCTTTGCAGACGTGTGTATCAGCATCTTCACATGCACGTGTGTAACCCAGGTTCGCCTTCATGCGGCAGGTCATGTTGGATCCAACCCTGGCGACTGTCACTGTGGAGGAGCGCTACAAAGTCACCACCAAAGACAAGGACTCCGACTTGTACTGTACCGTCTCTTGCCTATACATAGCTTTTGAATTTGGAAGCCTGTGCGAGCACGGGCTCGTTTCCTGCAGCCAAGATGTCCCTCATCCAACTCTACGCGAAGTTTCCAGGGGAAGAGGGCAAGCTCTTCGTGCAGAAGCTGGTTGAAGGTGACTGAGTTACACGTGTGTTTCTATAGGTTTTGCTAGGGTTTAGGGTTTAGGGCTTAGGGCTCAAGGGTTAAGGAGGGTTTCATTACTGTTTAGGGTTTAGGATCAGCTTAAGTTAGGGTTGAGGGTTTAGGGTACATCGAGGTGATGAGAAGAAGGGGGGGGGGGTTCCGGGCCCGAGGCCCAATACCGAATATTGCCATGGATTGTATCCACGAACCCTTCCTCTGCGCTTAGGGTTTTGGGTTTAGTGTTTAGGGCTTAGGGTTTAGGGTTTAGGAGGGTTTCGTTCAAGTTTAGGGTTTGGGGTCAGCTTAAGTTAGGGCTGAGGGTTCAGGGTACATCGAGGTGGTGAGAAGAAGGGGGTTCCGGGTCCAAGGCCCAATACCGAATATTGCCTTGATTCTGTAGGATATGCCCAGGAACCCTTCCTCTGCGCTTCACTAACGAAGTGATGATTTCGGGGTTCAGCGGCTCCTCTTCACTTCAATTAAGAACTGACATTCTGAGATTTGCAGCCCTGCGCCCAGTCACCCTTCCAACTTGCAGGCCCCGGATCTCTCAACTCCCACCCTTTGACCCCAATTATCCTCCAAACCCTGAACCTTATACCCAAACTCCAGAACCCACCAACCTAAGCAAACCCGCCAACTCTTGCTGTCGAGGTCAAGAGGGCAAGGCTCATCCGCAGGACAGGACAAGCCTTGGATGGAAGCTGCGTGTTAGGGGTTAGGGGTTAGGGCTTAGGGCTTGAAATTTAAGGTTTAGGGTTTAGGCTTTTTATGCTTCTACTATTGCTCTGCAGGCGCCTGACATGCCAGCAGCGCGAATGTATCGCGTTCTTAAGTCCATCGTGAATGAAAAATCGAGAGAGAAAGAGCACGCGCAGGAGGCGGAGTGGATGTGTGCATGGATAGCGCACGTGCATGTATACCTGCAGTATTTTGTTATTTGTGGTCAGGTTAAGATCAGTGCCCGCATCAGAAGCAAGCCCAGTGCCGACATTCTCAAGCCGCAGCTCGATGCCTTTGCCAGTGACATCGCTGCTGCGAGCTCCTCGATGTTGGGGTCAGACGGCAAGCCCCTGAAGATGCCGAAGCCCAAAAAGGTGCTCACACCAGAGCAGGTTCAGGACAAAGCCCTTGTCACCGCCTTCAAGAGGCCCGGGGTGGGTTGTGTGTCAGACGATTGTATATGCAAATTTCAGTTGCGTTAAATTCATCTGTCAGGCTCTTGGGTGATGAGGGCAGGATCTCTGCTTTGGTCTGCGATCTTCGAAAGGTACCACACTCGACCGAGCTGGCCGGCTCATTGCAGGGCCACAAGGATACAGTGAAGCTGGTGCTGCAAGAATTTGACGCAGAGACTAAGAAGGAGGGTGCAACCTACGACGAGAAGCAACGTGACACGGTCGATTTAAAAACTGTCCCGTGTTTGGGGTTGAGGGATTAAGGGGTCAAGGGTTTAGGGGTTAATGGGTTCAGTGCTTACGGTTTAGTGGTTGGGTTTCGTTTTTTCTTAGAAGGTTTAAGCCTCTGCCCTGTCTAATCTGCCTCAGGTGCCCTCGAGAAAACCACCGAGAGCATGAGGGCAGTCTACAGCGACATCAAGGAGGGCGTGCGCGGGCTGAGGCTGCATGGAATCAAGCCATCGAAGAGTGCTGACACTGCTGCTGAGAGTGGTGCTGAAGGTGGGATGGATGAGCTAGTGCAGGGGATGTACACAATGTCTTGAATTCCTGCCACCCTCGATTTCGCTGCAGGGGCGCGCAATTGATGGCTGATGCATTCGATGTCTGGTGGTCTGGTGATCGCGATATGGAGCCCAGTTTGAGGTTTTGACTCGAGTTGTTTAAACACATGTGCAGTCCAGTGCTGCGGTGCAATTAGGGGGAAGATCGGGAGAGGAGGCCACTGCTGTACTAAAACCACAGCCAGAGCAGCCACAGTAGCGGCCAGCAAGTGCAGCAGCAGCGGCAGCACTGCCTCACCCCCGATCGGAGCCATGCGTAGTTTGATCTATACATGCATTGCACGTAGAACCTAGCTAGTGCAGAAGCCGTGCTGGGAGTAATGAAACATTGCAGCTTCACAAGCAGCTGTGGTGGTGTCACTGGACATGGTGCTGACTCAGACCCCCGAGCCAGCCGACAAAAAAAAACCAACACAATGAACCCTTCTAATTGTTGCTGGGAAGCCAGAGCGCTCGGCAGGTGCGTGTGTAACCTGAGATCGCGGCAGGGTTGCGGCACAACCGGAAAAGTATAAACCCAAAATTCCCTGAATTAACGTACAGGGTTTAGGGGTTTAGGGTTTAGGGATTAGGGTCTAGGGTCTAGGGTGTAGGGTTTAGGGTTTAGGGTAGCCTGGAACCTATCCGGTAAAACAAAAAAACTAAACCCGAAACCCGAAACAGTAAACCTCAACCCTAAACGCGTAATACCCGTGAATCCTGAAACACGGTGTGGGCTTTTTGTTTGTGCTTGGGGCCCAAGGTTTCTGTTGGAACTGGGCTGTAAGGTTCAAGCAGAGTTTCAGGAACTGGGAATTCAGGCTGGGCATTAAGGGGTGGGGGGGGTTCATGTTTCTGGGCTTGCTATCCTAGACCCTAACCTCGCAACCCTGGCCCTCGCAATGTGTCGTGTTTTGGCTGCAAAATCTGGGCCCCTTCATTTAGCCACACGCTAGCCAAAAAAACCCGGAGCCCTAAGTCCAATTAAACCATACTGGACTATAACCCCCACTTCAGGTAGCACGACTGCCGAAGACACACACTAGCTGCCCGAATTCAGTGGTATCTGTAGCGTTAATTCCGCGAATAATGGTTTAAACACTAAACCCCAACCCTAAACTTCCAAAACCTGAAGTCCATATCATGGAGCACAATCTCGAGGTGTGTGTGTGTGTGTGTGCACTTTTTGTCTGACTAGGGGTGTGGTTTCCTCTTCGAAACATGGCCCATGGACGATGGACCTCCTTGAAGACATTTTGGCTATTGGCCGTACATTGTCTGCTGAGAAGATAAAGCGGCTGATCGACTCGATTGCTAATCGCATTCCGTATCAGTTTCTCCCGACACTTGGTCGTTTTGGACTGGCTCGTGAAAACAATTCAAATGGTTCGACGCACTGCAGACCTCCTAGCTAAGGGCCAGCCTTCAGGACCTTGCGGGGTATGCGCCGGGCAAAAACTCCTATAGAACCTTCGTGTCTTGGATCAACCGACAAAGTTGGCGCAAGATTTTGCCAAGGCCCCGGGAGTGCCTCGGTAGCACCTCTGCAAGGGCCTGCAGCAGCTGTCGGTCTGTGGAAGACACCGGTGCGCAAGCTCAGGGTGCCGGTTTTGCTGATCGACCGAAAGAGGCCAGTGGAACAGCAGATCTATGAGTCCAGCTGGCATGTCATGATGCCGCATGAAACGTGTCTTGCTGCATGAATTCCTGTGCTGCTGGATATGAATTCTGAATTTGTGCTTGTGCATGCATGGCTGACTTGCGCAGCCTAGGTTCCAATCAATTTACAACTATTCGAGATCTGAGTTCCAGCGGCTTCTATGTGGACAACCGGGCGCGCCTTGGCCAGCGGCTGATTTTGCCCAACGCAGGAGCAGAGTACCTTGGATGGCACCAACCAAGGATCTGCTCAAGTACTGGAAACACATCCAGCACACAGAGTTACTCAGTTCGAACATCAGCAGCTCTCAGTAGTCAACAGAATGTCCAGCAACGAAACTTCAGGTTTCCAAACCCGAATATAGCTATAGTATACCCCACGCCTCCATATATTACCATAGACCCGAGGTGGTTTCAGAAGCATCCCGTGCTGAAAGATCTCTCAGAAGCCTGCCTCTATAGAAATATTTGAATGCAAAGACATGAGCACATCATCACCCTAAAGCCCGAACCCTGTGTCCTCTAGCCGGGCAATCCCAGCTGAGGATGCTGAGCTCGAACGCTGTGTCCCTCTAGAACTGCACGGCGACGATGCGGATGCTCACCGCCGTCGCACCTTCCTCGTTCTGAGTCTTCAATCAGCAGTGGTCCGCACATCGTCACATCCCGGAGCCGCTCCCACATCGACACTGGATGCACTCCTTCCTATCTATTGCCTGGACAATAACCAAGCCACTGAAGACACGGACCCTGGGCTGCAGTTTTATGGCACCTGTAACAGTTCACATGTGTGTAGTGTGTGCTTTCTAGAAAACCAAGTAAGCCAAGGTCTCACAGCTAGACATGGCTGTAGTATGGTCGCTCCAGCAATTGCAGCTTGGCACCACCTTTACGCACAACTGCTGGGGTGATCCCGTTCCAGGTAGGCTGGGGTGGGGGCAATGTTGCAGTCTCGCTCTAGATTCCTGCTGTCTCCTGTGACTCACACGCAGGCGCTGCAGAAGAGGTCATCGCTGGTGGATGGAGGGGTATCTGGACAGGCTTCAAGGGGGATCAGGCCTATGTGAAAAAGGCTTTCAAGCTCAAGCGATCTTGGGTCAGCACCAACGTGTGCCATGCGTGTGAAGCCCCTTGGTTTTTCTATCAGTGACAGCCTAGTATGTCGAAGCAAAGATTGAACCCCCCCCCTTTGTGTTGAGGCCTCCAGAAATCCTTCGTCCGAACTGCTCTACACAACCTATGGCAGGGCAGCCAAACATCGGGAAACGTGGCTGGGCTGCCAGAAACAAGTCGTCCCCCCAAATCGTCCCCCTATGTCCCCCTCACTGCTCGCAACCAGGATGCACAGTAGCCAGGAGGTGGCGGCAACAGCCTGGTCCTTGTTTTTCTTGCTGAGATTTTTTGGGTTGGTTTTGGAGGGACTAAACTGCTTCACGGCTTTATTGGGGACTTGGAGGGGCTAGCTTCTAAAGGTTTGGGATCCCAGGGGAGCCTCAAACACAGCCACCCAAAATGCGCAGCCCTGCTTCTGGGATATAAGGGGTCTGGCACGTGCCATCTATAGGGTGTGCTGCTGCCATCTTAGGAAAGTCGATGATGCAACCTTTGCACGGCGAGCATCCAAATCTCCATGGGTACTCCTACCAGGATTATCTGTGGAACGTGTGTGGCCAGACTACTTGCATGTGGTCGACCTGGCGCTGTCTGCAGATGCGTCAGCCAGTGTAGCGGGGCCAGCACATCGAAGCAGTTCTGGAATGCCATGGCCCATGCGTGTGCATGTGCTTGACCCGTGTTATCATGTTGTGGAACTGAGGCGCTACTAGAATTGACGGCTACGCGTGATGTATGGCCTGGCTCCAGTCAAGCTGATCGCTTGGCCCACGCTTATGCGGAGTTCATCGAACTGTGCAAAGCTGAGAAGGTTCGCATCTTGCCTGCAAGCACTAGCTAGTCCCCATTCGTGGTGTCGGAGGTTAAGGTCCAAGGCCCCCAAACCCCTGAGATCCCAAGGTTGCCGAGCCCCTCCGTTCTCTCTGGATGCGCTGAAGCCAAAGAATGCGTTCCCGACCATGGCGCAAAAGCATCTGTCAGGAGCGGAGCCTTGGCAGATATTTCGGTGGTCTACGGTCTCCCCAAAACCAACCCAAACCCAACCCTTAACCCCTAAACCCTTCATGAAACCCTTCCTTAATAACTCTGAACCCTTAAATCATAAAGCCTTAAACTCTAAACCCTAAAGCCTAAAGAAAAGCAACCCACAAGCGCACCAAGGGGTGCAAGCATAAAACTAGGTTAAGGACTCGATCCTGGTTTCAGGCCTGTTTCAGGGATTTCTACATCCTGCTGAGGAGTCTGTGATGCTGGTGAGGTGGCTGGCTACTGTTTGCTGGCGGGTTGCAGACCGGACCCGGACTCACCATGACCTCTTGAGGGCTGCCCTGTTTTTCAGCCTGGACTCCTTGCGATCCGTGTTCAGCAATGCTTCGTCGATCCCCGATGAACGCGAGCTGTTGGCAGCAGAGCAATACAACGACATGAATCACGCTGCTCTGTCTGGAATCTCTGGACTGCAGTTGTGAGCATCAGTATCAGATTGATTTCATTCCACTGTTCGGCAGTGTTTCAGGACTACTCACTGCACCAACCAAGGGCTGGCAAGGGAGGCCATCGCAGCCAAGAAGATGCTTTGGAAGATCCGACCCAAGTGCCATCAGTGCCTCGATTGACATGGGCCTTTTTCTGTTCCTCTGTGTTCCGAGTGCTTGGATTTGTATATACTTCTGGTCTATCCCTAAGACTGGATCACCTGACCCTTGATGCAGCTCGACTCACAAACCCCATGCGGGCCAGTAACTATTTGGAAGAAGACCTTGTGGGCAGGGTCAAGCGGCAGCTTCGCCCAATTATCGATTTCTTTCTCAGTTTACTGTAAGTGGGATCCGCAGCTCAAATGATTTGCATGAGCCCAGGATGGCACTACTTTCTCATCCCAAACACTTGGGCCTCTCTGTCCTAGAGAGGTGGAGCTGGTATGTAGCCCTTCAGTGGCACAAGAAGGCGATGGAGTGAGCGGAGAAATGGAGCGCCATCGTGTCTGGAGTGAAGCCCAGACAACCCAGCATTGGCATCTTTCTCATATCCTGACCCGTATAAACATGACACGCCTAGAGAGCCCTGTTCATCTTGACAGCCTGAACTCTGACATGTCAACCCTGAACACCCCCCACTTGGACATAAACCCCATTTATGTACGGCAACTGACAGGTTGAAGCTCTGTGCTTGCAAATGACATCTTTTTGGGCCCTGGAACCAAAAACTTGGGGTTTCGAGGGTCTTGGGAGTCATTGCGCGCATTTGACGAGGCAGGAGGGGAGCATCATGAGCATCAGCTGGGCGTATTTCCGGCCACAGGACCCTCCTAGGCGCCAGGCGTTGCAAAACCAACTGCCCGAGTCATTGCGCGCATTTGACGAGGCAGGAGGGGAGCATCATGAGCATCAGCTGGGCGTATTTCCGGCCACAGGGCCCTCCTAGGCGCCAGGCGTTGCAAAACCAACTGCCCGAGTCATTGCGCGCATTTGACGAGGCAGGA